AACCCCTAAACCCCTAAACCAGAACCCCTACACCCTAAACCCCCGCGGATTGCCGGGGCTCTGGCTTCGGTAAACCATAAACCCTACACCCTAAACCCTAAACCCTAAACCCTAAACCCTAAACCCTAAACCCTAAACTCTAAACCTAAACCCGCGGAGAGCTCGAACTCTCGGCCCGGGAGCTTCGGGGTTCGGGAACTTGGGGTTGAGGGTTTAGGGCTTAGGGTTTAGGGTTTAGGGTTTAGGGTTTAGGGTTTAGGGTTTAGGGTTTAGGGTATCTCAACCATCAGTGTCATGGCGAATACTCCAGCTTCGCATCAACCCATGGCAAAAATGCCGAATTCCGAGGCTGCGTTGCCCGGAGCGGTTCAAATCTCCTCGTGCATAAACACGACTGAAAACACCCTAAACCCTAAACCCTGCATTGCAAGACTGCAAGATGAAGTTCTTTTCGGTTTTGCCCTTTTTAGGTGGGATTTTGTGAAGATTGCAATAGCATCATAGTATACGGCTTTAGGACGGTTGGGCTTTCAGGTTCTGGGGATAACGGTCCCACAAAACCCACAAATTCGGGGCGGCAAGTGGCCAGGGATGTAGGGATTCGGAGTCCAGAAATTGCAGGGTAAGTCGTCCTACCTGCTGTGGGTAAGGTAGACTAGGATTTAAGGGTTTGGAGGTGAAGGTAAGGCCTTGAAAATTAAAACGGACTCTGCAACCACATGTAATCTAAGGGCCTGAATAATTACCAATACTATTCTGCGGGTTGCTTATTATATTTATAGTATAATGGGCCCCAAAACCCTCGTGGAGAGGAGGTGACCCTCAACCCGGCTTGTACACCCTGCATGCTAAGCCCTAAAGATTGCAAACCGTACAGCCGGTCAACTCTTCGGTTTAGAGTTTAGGGTTTTCTAAACCCTGAGAAGACTTTCGAAACCTGAAACACAACCCTTTCGATCCTGCCTTGAGCTGCTGCCCAAGGAAACCCTGGCGGAATCGACCGCTGCGCACGTGGACGGCGAGAAGCTGGACAGGGGCATCGTCGTCCACCTGAAGGGCTTCGGGTTTGCGGCTTAAGGTTTAGGGTTTAGGGTTTAGGGATTTGAGCATCAGAGCTTAGGGTTTGGAGCTTAGTTTTTCACTTCTGTGGGGGCATAGGGGTCAGGTTGGAAGATTGGCGATGCGAATGGACTTAGGGTTTAGGGTTCGGGCTTGGAGACCGCGGACATCACACCCAAGGAGAGGACCCCGCCAGACGAGCTAGTCTAGTAGTGCCGGGTAACATAGCGGCCTCAATTAGACAAAGTGGGTTTCGGGATATATAACAGTATAATGTAGCGGATCTTAGTTCAACGAACTCCCGTCCCACTGTTTTCGTTACTTGCTGTAGGGTCTCTCGGTACAATCTCGAGTTTAGGGTTCAGGTAGGGCATCGGATGGAGTTTAGCCCGGTTCGGGTCTTGGGTCAGGTGTTGTTGTTTTTTCTTGAGTTTAGCTAGCCGGGAATTGTTGTGTAGATAGGGTGTTAGGTTTGGAGCAATCCCTGGCGCTACCCTAAACCCTAAACCCTAAACCCTTTAAGCCGCAGGCATTCTTCGCATCCATCATCTCCGGCAGGGTGATGGGGCCCCGCCGTGCCTGCGTGTGGGACGTGGCTTGGGCTTGGGTTTAGGGTTTAGGGTTTAGGGTTTAGGGTTCAGGGTTTAGGGTTTAGGGTTTAGGGTTCCGCCACCACTCTTACCGTGAGGCTGCGAGCAGTAAAGGTCTTTATGCTTTCTATTGGGAAAGACTGACGGCCGACGTAGAACCCAGGATGCCAAGATACCAAGCATGAGAATCCAAACCCGAAACAACTGCAAACCAAAAGCCCCGAACCCCTCAGACTCTCCGCCAATGGTCACAATTATCGCAACACCGACAATATCAGTATAGTAATACTGTAGCGTAACAACGAGAGATGAGGCTGCTGACAGCAATAGAAGCACCAGCAGCTCACTAGCAATAGTACTTAGAATAAGAGACAACACTCTCTATGCGAGACCGCAGCAAAAATCAACAAACAGTAAAACCTTCGAGAGACCCACAGTCTGTAGAGATCATTGTCAATCGATGCCTTGAGTGCAGCAGGCTTTGCAGTTAGGATTTAAAGGTTTAGGGTGTAGGGTTCAGGGGTTTAGGGGTGTATGGGGTTTAGGGGTTTAGGGGTATAGGGGTTTAGAGGTCTGAGGCCTAAGGTGTAGGGTTTAAGGTACAGGGAACAATCGCCCATGGAGACTACGCTGAGTTGGGCCTTCTCCGACATCTGTTCCGCGCGATGCGCAGCATAGATGGCAATGGCACCTGCTGGGGGTTCGGGACTTGCTTTTGCTGTAGCACTCAGCACTCCCCCGAAACCCTGAACCCTAAACCACGAAACCCCTAGACCCCTAAATCCCTAAACCGCAAGAGCCCTCAACCCAAATGCAGGGGCCTTAGTCATTAGAAGAGGGTTTTGGGGCCCATTATACTATACTATACTTATAACACGGTTCGTCCAAAGCTTTAGTTTGGGCTTGTTGGGTCTAGGGACAAGATCCGCTGCTCAGGAGGCAGAACCTACACTAACGTGGAGAGCCCTAAATTCCCACTGGGGCCGTTCCCACACGTAACTGGGTGGCAAGGCGCTGACGATTCTCGGCAGCCTTTACACCCGCACTAGGCGAAAGAATGGGTGGAGTTATACAGCTTGATCTGGGCTGTCGAGGGCTCCACCTCGCCGTTGGCCAGCCACTTCTTGATGGGAACACCCTAAACCCCAACGAAACCAAAATTGGGGGTACCGGGGTCCGAGGCCCCGCGGCTGGGCACTCGTAAGTGTCGCGCCAACCCGAACAGTTCTCCGAGGCCAACAGAGGCTTGAGAGTCCCAGTGGATCGTCTCCTCTGCCAAATCAGGGTGAACATCACACCGCGAGAAAAAAACGCCGACGCGCGCACACCTGTCGTTCGCGCTTCCTGACAAGAATCCTCCCGAACATCCAAAACAAGTGAACGGTGCTTGCGGGCAATCGATGATTATGAAGAGTCCGTGTGTTCTGGACGTGGTGGCGAAAACGGTTTTCGGAAAATGCAGAGGCCCTTCACTGTTCTGCCCGTCTGCCCTGGCCCGCCCTGCCCCTGCACAGTCTCAAGAAGCCCAAGGAGGCCCCAAAAAGTCTTCATGCCCGCACTGCCGGAGTATCAGGCGTGGTGTGGGAATTGACAGGAAATGGTTGGGGTGGTTGCCTGTGATGTCATCACCGCGGGCGTAAACCCTAAACCTTAAAACCCACCAAAACCCAAACCCCTAAACTCCCTAAGCCCTAAACCCTAAACTGGGGCTTATGGTTCAGAGCTTCCTTGCTGTTGCTTCATCTTAGACCTTCGGCTGCAGCAGCCGCGGGCCCGTCAAAGAGAGTTCGCCTTGGGTTTCCTTTAAGGGGTACCACGGGGTTCTAGAATAGGATCCCCTTAAAGGGTAGTATAGGGTCCTATAGTGGGATCCCAATAAGGGGGTTCAGGGATTTAGGGCTTTAGGGGTTTAGGGCTTCAGGGGCTTAGGGGTTTAGGGGTTGAGGGCTTAGGGCTTAGGGCTTAAGTTTAGGGGTTTAGGGGTTCAGGAGTTGAGGTTGTGGGGCTTAAGGCCCCCAAACCCCCTTGGGAGCTATGGTCTCAACAACCACGCTGTTTAGGGTTTAGGGTTTAGGGCGTAAGGTTTAACACCGACACCCTTGAATCTAAAACGACTGAACCCCACACCCTGAACCCCTATATCCGAACCCAAAACCCCTGAACCCGAACCCTAAACCCTTAAACCAGCCCTGCACCTGTCAACTCTAACCCTACACCCTAAATTCAAACCTTGAGCCTCCAAACCTTAACCACAAACCCGTAAGCCCGAACGCATAATCGAGGGGCCTGGATAATAGTAAGAAGAGGAAAAGGAATATATAGTAGTATTTAGAATAAGAGTATGAATAATGAGAATAGGGTGTTGGGGTCTGTTACTTATGCTAGATTGGAAAGCTTATTGAGAAGAAGCGCCCTAGTTTGCTTTGTCGTTTCGGATTGGAGTATTCACGATCGAGCTGCAATCTGTCCCAGAGTCACTAAACCTGAGAGTAGACATGTGCTTTATACTAGCAGTCTTAGCCGTTAGTACTAGCAACCATCCTGCTAGTAGGAATACGAACAGCACTAACTAGAGTTAACATCAGCGCACAAAGTCCTGGATATTGGAGACCTTAATAATTAGACTAGGTTTTAAGGTCTACTCCTGAGAGTAGGGGAAAGCCCTAAACCCTAAACCCGAAACCCCAAACTCTTAATTAGACTAGGTTTTACGGTCTATTCCCGAGAGCACCCTGAACCCTAAACCCTAAACCCTAAACCCTAAACTTATAATGATTAAAGGAACTCGAGACTCGAACGCAATAAATACTGGTCCATTCCCCAAAATTAGCTTCACAGACCGACTCAGTGGCACCCAGAAACCCTAAAACCTAAACCTTAAACCTTTTTCCTTGAACCCTAAATCCTGAAGCCTAAACCCTAAACCCTAAACCTTGAACCCTAAACCTTAAACCCTAAACCTTGAACCCGAAACCTTAAACCCTAAACACTAAACCCTGAAAAAGCTCACACGCCTGTTGCCAACAAGATAGAGACCGGCTCCATCCTCCTGCCGGTCCGCGGGGCCTGGAAAGGGTTCCTTTAAGGGACCTTATCAGGGTTTAGGGTTTAGGGTTTAGGCTTTAGGGTTTACGGTTTACGGTTTAGGGTTTGGGGGGCTTCTTTGAAGGGGGGACAAAAGATCTGTAGGGTGCATGCCTCTAGGGTTTCGGATTTACCACTTAGGGTTTAAGCTTCCCGTTCAGGGTTTGGGGCTGAGGCTTAGGGTTAGGGCAATTTGTGGATAAGAAATCGAGCAGAACGAAATGGTTTGCAGAACTGTTCCGACATGACCCCGAGTAGCGTAGACATTCAGCGGCAAGATGCGGCATGCGTACTGAAGAGGAGATGGCGCATACAAAGTGAAGGCATGCATGCTTGCAGAAGTACCCTCCCCGCCTGACAGGAGAAGCTTGAAAAAGGAAGCCGCGATGCTTTCAGACGTCAGGGCACTAAACCCTAAACCCTAAACTTTGACTCTAAATGCTGGCTCTTGGCATGGCTGTGCAGCTAGAGCTGTCTGGTGGCTGGTCATGAACTTCGAAGCTCTGCACAGAACCCATGCTGCGGCACATGGCAGATGAAGACGACGATGTCAGGCAGGGTCTGTATTTAGTTGGGATAGCGCTTCGGGGAATTTAGAGAATGACTATGAGACCAACACATCAAGCAGGGACACTCGAAGGTGCTAGATTTTGGACTTTCCCCACGTTCGCCCCGGAGAGGTCTATCTTCCAGATTCCGACACACCGTGGCGTGGTTGTCAGCTTTGGCACCTGAGCTTGAACCGCTTGGGAGAGTGACAAAAGTCGAGCCCCTAAACCCTAAACCCTAGACCCCAGGCCCTGAACCCTAAGTCAAGGTACTTTTTCCAAGCCAATCGCAAAAGGTTCTGAGCACGGCCATTCAAAGCATAGCTGCCGGAGGGGAACCGGTCGTCCAGATGAGAAAACCACCGATTTTTGAGCGTAGATGCTGCAGTCAAAACTCGCATTCAAAACTCCCCTCCTGGCCCTTTAGAGTGAATCATATGCTGAATTTGCCCTGCTTCAGGCAGCTGGTGTCTCAGGCGTCTTGCGCTGCCAGACATCAACCTGCAAAGCACCACAGGCCCCGAGACGAAAAGCATCGCGTAACTAAGAGCCCCTGTTATGGGGTTGAGGATTTAGGGTTTAGGGTAGGGTTTAGGGTTTAGGGTTTAGGGTTCAGGGTTCAGGGCTTAGGGCTACAGTCGAAGGAATATTCCGTTTTTGAGGGATGTTGGACTATAAACCGGTAAACAACCGTCAAAAAACATGCGACAAACCCCTATAAAAGGCAACTAGTCTACAACCTTGGTTAAGTCAGTCCGTCCCAAAACCTGAAAAGGTTGAAACACCATAAGAACCGCATGAACGCCACTTCGTCTCTGAAAAAAACGTTTCTCTCAACATGGGTTGCCAGCGCGTACAAGAAGTATGGCACGACACGCGCCCTGAACCCTAAAGCCTAAATCCCTAATTCCTAAACCTTAGACCCTACACCTTAAACGTTAACCCCAAAGCCTAGATGGCCCTAAATGCCTAAACCCTAAACCCTAAACCCTAAACCCTAAATCCCTAAACCAAGACCTTGCATGGACCTCAAACCCTGAACCTTACACCTTAAACTCTTAAATCCTAAGCTCTAAACCATAAGCCCTGAACTCCCGAAACTCCCCAAACCCTAAACTCCCCAAACCCTAAGCCCTAAACTCCCTAAACCCTAAACCCTACACTCCCTAAGCCCTAAAGAACCAGAAGCTACGGCTGATGATATAAATCCAGCATTACCTATAATAGGGAATATACCATAACTCCGGAAGTCTAGAGTCCTTAAGGGATAAACCCTAAACCCTCAAACCCTAAACCCTAAGCCCAATCTTAAAGAACCCTTTAAGGAACCCTTTTAAGGAACCCTTTTAAGGAACCCTTTTAAGGAACCCTTTTAAGGAACCCTTTTAAGGAACCCTTTTAAGGAACCCTTTTAAGGAACCCTTAAGGTAATGCAGGATTTATCTCATCAACCGCAGTTGCAAAGCTGCTCGCAGCCTGGATGGCACATCCTTCGAACTGACCTGGCGATTTAGGGCTTAGGGACTAGGGGTTGAGGGTTTAGGGTTTAGGGTTTAGGGTTTAGGGTTTAGGGTTTAGGGTTTAGGGTTTAGGGTTTAGGGTAGGGCTTAGGGTTTGAGGTTTGAGCAGGGCTCAGGGTTTAGGGTTTAGGGTTTAGGGAGTAGTTCAGGGAGTAGGGCTCAGGCTTTAGGGTTTAGGGAGTAGGGTTCAGGGAGTAGTTCAGGGAGTAGGGCTCAGGGCTTAGGGTTTAAGGATTAGGGTTTAGGGTTGAGGGTTTGGGGTTTCGGGTTTAGGGTTTGGGGATTAGGCCCTAAACCCCAAACCCTAAACCCTAATTCCTAAACCCTAAACCCTGAGCCCTACGGTTTAGGGTTTAGGGTTTGGGGTTTAGGGTTTAGGGCTTGGGAATCCTCTAAGTCTCGGACTTCGGGGGACTTCGGGGTTGGGGTTTGCGAGTTGGGCTGCTTGGTTACAGGGTTGAGGGTTTAGGGTTTAGGGTTTAGGGTTTAGGGTTACATCGACTAATGTAGGAACCTGATTAAGAAACCCTGGGTCTTTATTAGGGTTTAGGGTTTAGGGTTCAGGGTTTGGGGTTTAGGGTTTACCCTGGGTCTTTATTAGGGTTTAGGGTTTGGGGTTTAGGGTTTACCCTGGGTCTTTATTAGGGTTCTGAATATGGATCCCGAATATATTGGGGCTATAGGGCCAGGGTTTCTTAATCAGGTTCCTACACTAGAACCGACAGCTCGGAGGGTTTAGGCTTGCATCCTTCATCCTGGCTCGTCTTACTGACCGCCTAGGGTCAAAACACAGGAATTCGAGACGCAATCGATAGACCTTCGACCCCAAACTAAGACCTCAACCCCTAAACCCTAAACCACTGCCTAAACTCCAAACCCTGAACCCACTGCCTAAACTCTAAACCCTGAGCCACTGCCTGAACTCTAACCTGAACCACTGCCTAAACTCTGAACCCTGAACCCTCAATGCGTCACCGGCACTGCCGTTGAGCATCGCCACAGCCTTCGGCACGTCCTCTGCCGAAATGTTGGGTTTCGGGGCCACGCTTGGGAAGGCCCGTTGCCGGCTTCCTTTAAAGGGGGGGGGGCCTTCGAGTTCGAGTTCGACCGCCACTCGGTAGGCGGCTGAGGGGCGAGGGTCAGGGACGGTCGAGTTCGAGTTCGAGTTCGAGTTCGACTCCCAGCAGCAACTACCAGGCAGGACCCTGGAGGGGGAAAGGGTTCGAGTTCGAGTTCGACCACCACTCGCTTCCCTTCATGGGTACTATAGGGTTCTTTAATAGGTTTACTTTTAAAGGGTTCCTTTGAGGGGCTACTTAGAAGGGGTATATTAGAGTGCAAATACATAGAGCCTATAAGGGCATAGTATTGCTATCGCTGAACCGTGCACTTCAAACCTGAGGTATGTGGTTTGGGCGTGCTTGAAACTATCTAACCCAGAGAGCCCAATACCTCGAAATTAAGGACTACATTTTATATGATGATATGAAGCCCTCTGTGATTTTCCACGTATATTCTGAGAAATGTACCTGTAATCATAATGCGATGAAGCCCTCTAAAGGTATACTCCGAAAGCAATGGGTAATGGGATATGTTCGTAGAAACCTTGTAGAACCATTGAAGAATCCATGAAATGCAACGTCTTTAACAAATGTATAACACTTGTAGATCCTTTTAAGAACCTGTCAAATGCCATGTTTAGAACACGAAAACAACCCATGTAAAACTCCTTTTGTATCCTTATAGAAGCATACAAAGTGCCACGGCGAAATGCACGGCACAAGGTGACCACTCCGGAAAAGATGCTTCTCTCAACTGAAGCAACCAACTACCAAGACTGCTACCGTAGGGTTGAAGCGGCTTTTAAAACCTAAACCCTAAACCCCTAAACCCTAAACCCTACACCCTAAACCCCTAAACCTCAAACCCTAAACCCTAAGTTTAACCTTGCAGGATGCTTTTGGTAATTTGGTTGACCAGGAGCTAGCCGCTAAAGACATGTTGAGCTTCCGACTACATGTCTCCTATGTAAAGTTAGTATAGTATCAGTATTACGGTTGATGATGTAAAGCCTGCATAGCCCATAATAAGGAATATGCTATACTTCCCATAGTTTCGAGTACTTAGGTAATGCAGCATCTATATCATCAACAGTAGTACGGTATCAGTATCATTGCTATCATCATCATCATCATCACCATCATCTTTTGCTGTTACTATGGTGTTTGGTTCAAAGAAGAAGGGAATCTGCAAAAAACCCTAAACCCTAAACCCTAAACCCTAACCGAAAAAAATGTAGCCGAACCTATACTCGAAAGCCCCAAATCCCCAGATACAGCCTAAACCCTCTCAACCCTGATGCACGAACCCCTAAACTCCTACACCCACGCACAACCCGCACCTTCAGATTCTAAAACCTTCTTGTAGGTAATAGAACCCAGAAAACATTAGAAAACCCTCCTTATGGCACCCTTCACCTGACCCTAAACCGTAAACCCTAAGCCCTAAACCCTATGACCCTAAACCCTAAACCCTAAACCCTAAACCTAAGCCCTAAAGCCTAAACCCTAAACCTAAACCCTAAACCCTAAACCCTAAAAGATTGCTCTTAGTTACGTAACCCAAAACGTCCTCCGGATTCTTGAAGGCGGCTCCGCCCACACCGTTGCGGTTGATCTCAGCGAAGATGCACTCGCCAGCCTGGCTCTCAGCTGCCCAAATTTAGGGTTTAGGGTTTAGGGTTTAGGACCCCAAGACTCAAAGTCTATAGAGGCTTTTCACGCCCAACCGGTTACAGTAAGGAGTTTAGGGCTGAGGCTTTTGGGTTCAGGTGGTGTTTCTGTTTAGAACCTAAGGCTTAAGACTCAAAGTCTATACAGGCTTCTTCTAGAAA